CCAGGGAGAAAACATGCATATACATACATACACACACACACACACACACACACACACACATATACATACATATATACATAGATATGTATATATGTATATACACTCTGGAGGAGAAAGTGACTTTGCACAGCCCCTCACTCAAAGTCAATTGCAAGTCATGTCATTGTCTCCTTGATGTCATGGTCCTTTTCTAGAACAAAGGACAAACCACACACCCACACATATACATGTATATTATATACACACATATGTATGTGTGTGCACACACATAATATAAAACAGATACAAAACAGCCTTGGGAAAAGGTACTAGTAGCTGGGGACCAGGGAAAACCTCATGTAGAACTCATTGCTTGAACTACATCTTGAGGGAAATCAGGAATTCTCAGAGATGGAGGAGAGGAATGTGAGTAGTCCAGGCCAATGGAAGGGTCAATGCAAAAAAAGAGCTGAAAAGCAGAATGCAGAATGTGAAGAACAGCAAGAAGGCCTAATTTTAGCTATATTACAGAGTATGAGCTGTGTCTAATAAGACTGGAAAAATATAGGAAGGGGCCAGTTTGTGAACAGTTTAAATGACAAATAAAACATGTCGTATTTGAGTCTACAATTAATATGAAGCCACTGAGTTGAATGAACTAAAGAAGTGGCCTGTGCCATAGGAAAATCCTATTGTCAGCTAAATGGAGTTAGAATGGGGAGTGGCTTGAAGCAAAGACAAAATACAAGTCAATGTGAAAGGTGCTGGTGGCTTGAACTGGTAATGTGACTGACTGTAAGGATAGGAAAGAGGACAGAAGTGGGAAATGTTGTGGAAAAAGAAGTAATAAGACTTAGAAACTGACTGGATAGCTGGGAGCAGTGAAAGTGAGGAGTTAAGGATGACACTGAGGTTGAGAACCTGGGTCACTAGGCCGAGGAAACAGGAAGAAGGAAGCAGGCTGAGGACAAGCATTTTATACTTAACCTGGCATTCAAAACCCTTCATAATCTGGTTTCTTGCTGCTTTTCCATTTCTACTCCTCACATGTACTTTTACCTCAAGACAGCTCCATGTACTATATCCTAAATTGTCTCATACTTTCAAACTTCAGCTCTTTTATTCATGCCAGTTCCTTTACATGGAATGCATCCCCCTAATCTTTTCCTGTAAAGAACCTGCCAATCCTTCATGGCTCAGCTGAAATTGTGCTTCTTCCATGAAGCCTTCCTTGACCATCTCAGGTGGAAGTGATTTCTCTGGCCTGATATAGAACTTCTGTTTGGAGTTCTGCTAACTTGGGACTAATACTCCTTGAAGGGGCATGTTCCAGTGATTGGGTTAATTTAATGGGGCTAAAAGCAAGCCTTCACTAGATAAAATAGTACTGAACAAGTATAAATGAAAAGCTACCTCAGGAGACAGCATTTCTCAGAACACCAAATATAAGATAGTTAAATGGAATCAGGATACTCAGTGAACAGAAAGGAGATTTCAAGTTGAAAAGATCTGCTTGGGATCAGGACGCATCCTTTCACACATACTTCTGAAATGTTGAAATTTGCCTCAATACCTTTCAACTGCTCCCATGAGTTAGTGTGAATGTGGGACAGGTCTATTTTACCTCTTGTAAGGCTGTGGGCTTGAATAGTGCTTACTGTTGTGTGGATTGTGTGGATATGTATATATTTATAATATATCAGCTAACATTTGTATGCTGCGTTCAGGTTTACAAAACACTTTAGTAATATTATCTCATTTTATCCTCACAACCTCCTCACCTAGGAGACAAGTGCTATTATTATTCTCATTTTAAAGATGAGGAAACTGAAGCAGAAGAGGTTAAATGACTTGTCTAGAGTCACACAGCTAGTATCTGAGGCCAGATTTGAACTCAGGCCTCCCTGACTCCAGGCCCTGAGCCCCCTCTACTGCATTACCTAGCTTCCTTCCAGTTGCACTGACTAGACTCCTCGAGATCAGAATCTGTGATATACATTTATGCAACCTCCACAGAGTCTAACAAAGTGATCTACACCTATAGGTGACCAATACATAGCTTATATTACTTAAATCAATGAAACTATGAATTACCAATGAAAATTAACTCATGACCTTTTCAAGTAATTGACATGCTATGAATTTATATTTTGAGAAAGAAACATAGGTCTGCTCTAAAATACCATTTTAAACCAAACTGAGTTTAAAATAACCACAGCAAGTCTTTGTGGAGTAGAGAAAATCATAATTGCTAAAGATATCTAATTTTACAAAGTTTTTTTGATACATTTTGAATTGATTCTATGAATAGTCTTTTATCTATCACCCATAAAAGCAAAAAAAAAGCATTGTATTACTTCTTTTAATATTTGGGAGAGTTAGCAATAATTACATGAAGACTAGTTAGGTTTTCCTCCATTGCATTCTAAAACATTTCATCAATTATATCATTGCTTCCATGAGATTCTGAAAGTTTGAAGAGCTATGTCAGAAAATTAGACATCCAGAACAGATTTTATCATACTATTTTGAAATTTTAAAAATAGGACCAGATTTATTTATCTTGTAAAACTTTAAGGCATCTACTGGAATTGTTTAATTATCAACTTGACTTCAAGTCATTTAACCTTGAAATACTTCACGGCAGCTTAACTTCTTTATCGGTTAATTTCTGTTTTAAAAACTAAAGTGGCTAAAGTATTGCCTCATCACCTGGAGCCCTCTCTTTCCCCTCCTGCCTCCTACCTCACCTCCTTAATGTCTGTGCCAATTCTTCTGCTGACATTTAATTTAATCTTTGGTATGTTAGTGTGTTTAACAAGGTTAATGAGTTTCACTACCATAACAGATGTTTAATGTCTAGGGAAAAGAATCTCATTTTATAAAGTACATTTTTCTAACTGTATATACACATACACACACACACACAGACACACACATGCATGCACACACACATGTTGCTATATAAACACACACATATGCAAATGCATATAAATATATACATATATACATATAAAAAGGTATATATATATATATATACACACACACACACATATAATTTCTCTGTGTGTATGTGCGTGCATTAATTCTCCTTAATCCATGCCACCCCCCCAAAAAAAAAGAATAAGGAAAGTGACCAAATTGTTCATAACTTCTTTTTTTTAACCTCAAAATCCCACCACTGGCCCCATATGTTAAAAACTTTAAAGACAGAAGGAAGAGTACTATTTAGAGCAAAATATTCATAATATCACTTTTTATAGTAAAAAACTAGAAACAAAGTGCATACACATTAATTGAGCGAGAGCCAAAAAACTAATCTATGAATATAAAGGACTAATGTGCTGTAAAAAGTGATGAACAAGAAGTCAGAGGATCATGTGAATATTTATATAAACAGATAAAGTGAAATGAGCAGAACTGAAGAACAGTATACATAATGACCTTAATGAGAGACAGAGACGGTAGAGTGAATAGACCACTGGAGATGGAGTAAAGAAGACCTAGGTTTAAAGCCTTCCTCGGATATCTACTAGATATCTCACCCTGGGTAAGGGTCATCATCACTGGGCCTCAGTTTCCTCATTTGTATGATAAGAAAATGGTCTTGATCAACTTTAATGTCTCTTCCACGTCCAAATCTTTGATCCTATGACTATAAATTAAAAGATCATTGGAAGGAAGCCAAATTTTAAGTATCTGAACAACCAATAATGGCCTCAGAGAAGAAACAATGAAACATACCACCTTCCTTAATGGTGGCAGCTAGGTGGTGCAGTGTATAGAGCACCAGGCTTGGAGTCAGGAAGACCTGAGTTCAAATTTGGTCTCAGATATTTACTAGCTGTGTGAACCTGGGCAAGTCATTTAACCCTGTTAGCCTCAGTTTCCTCATCTGTGAAATGAGCTGGAGAAAGAAATGGCAAATCACTTCAGTATCTTTGTCAAGAAAATCCCAAATGAGGTCATGAATGGAAAGTCAGACATGACTGAAAATGACTAAACAATGAAACCCTCCTCTCAGAAGAGAGGTGGGTGGGTGGGGCAGCTAAAATAAAATGTTGCATATATTGACACTGATATAGTGATGATATATTGATACTTTACCTTTTTTTTTTCCTAGAGAGGAGAGGATTAAAATAAAGTAAATTACTGTAACAAAACAAAAGAAGGAATAAATAAAAATTTTCCTAAAAAAAATAGTGGGGGCAGCTCTATACAGAATCCACATCTCCAAAAACTTCCTGTCTTACTCACATAAGAAAACAAAAGGTAGTGGAAAAGAGATAGAATTTTGTATAGTGCTGAATAAAAAATGCCGATATAGACAACATTTTATACCTCATCTATGACCAAAAATCAGTTGTCTGCATTAAAACACCTTCTGTACATGTTAGTTTTTCTTACTCCTATGTACAGAAATATTTTCTTGCATTCATCAAAAGGTGAGAGTTTACAGAAGACAAATGTAATTCAAATTCTTGGGTCTCATCTATATTTTAGTAAAGTCACTGAATCCTAAAAGTTAACTTAAATTCCTATCTGTGTAAATATCATCTCAAAATTAATTCTTATATATATATGAACTATATTTTTTCTTTGTTTATACCATTTTATCTGCACTTAAGTGGCATTCCAGAGTACAATAATACGTAATGATAAGAGAAAATGAAATGCTGTTTTGACATTTCAAATACTTGAACTCATTTCTAATCTGATCTTTTGTTCTCCAAAATTAAAGTTGCTATTTATTGTAAAAACAAAACAAAACTCTTACCTCTATTTCATTCATGAGACTTAAATTCTAACCAACGAATGTTGTAAATAATAAATGCCCGGGTGGAAGTCCCCACCCCCCCAAGGGATTAAACCAGCTTATCACTTTCATAGCCAACTCTGCCTTTCAATGTTTCCTTGCAGAGTGATTTGCTATCACAAAAAGAAATATAATATTACTGGTATAGAGGGGAACACTGAAAACTAAATCTCACATTTGAAGATTTCAGGTATCTAGCACATACCTTAACATCATTGGTATTCATCCTTGTGCCCTCTTTCCCCACAAAGATGTCATCAATGTCCACAAGAATATACCTGTCCAAGGATAACATGAGTTTCTTCCCTGACAAGAAGGAGATGGCATCTATGAAGATGAGCTTGTGCAGCCAAAAGTTCAAATTGTTGCCAAAAAGAACCCGCTGAATCCCATCATGAAGCCCTAGGTCATGGATGACGGTGGCATAGAGAACACCCTTGGAAATGGGGGGAGAAAGGTTCTCAGGGGCCTTGACTTTGGCAAATATCACTGGTTGATATGCCGAATGATTGATTTGGAAAACTGTCCAGTCACTGCCAGGTAAGGAACGTCTATCAAGCTTAGAGGATTTGGTCACCCGGAGCAATGGAGAATGAGGGTTAATGCAACAATCTTTCACAGCAAGGTTTCCATGAACTGAAAAAGGGAAACCTTTCAGTGGAGAGCCCTGCAGGCTATTGTCACTGCTCTTGTAGAATCCAATGATCCCCACACCATATTCTACACAGTATTTATCTAAAAGGTCTCGATTCCAAGAGTCCATATTGACATACTTTGAAATATTTTCATATATAATGAGGACATATTTGCCTTTATTTTTGTCAATCAGCACAGGTAGGTCCCCCTTTCCAGGAGCAATTTCTATATGATACTGAAACCTACTTGATTCAAGTATCATGATGATGTCTTGACCCAGGGAAGAGTATTGGCTCTCCACAAACACCAGAACAATGGGGTCTGTCCTTAATGGGTCAAAGGGCTTCATGGTCTTTAGCTCCATTAATTTATATGGCAGATATGGAAGTTCCCCACAATCCATTTCTGAAGACGTTTCAGAGAGTTCGTTCTCCTGTTTGTAGCCAGAGTATAAGTAGTATGCTGAAATGACAATGCTCACCATACAAAAGGTGGCAAGCAAAAGAACTGTCCGCTGAAAGTGTCTGTGAAGCTTCATGATAAAACTCATGTCGAATACATGTGCCTCAAATTGTTCCCAATAGCAGCAGCATTTAAAAGAAAGAAAGAAAAGACAGTGTTTCAGCAACTTCTCCAGTCGATGAGGTATTTTATGTCACCATTGCAGCACATTTGTCTCCCTTCAGCAAAATTCACAGAAAATATAGTCTGAAAGACAGAAGTCAGGCACAAAATATTGAATGTATATTATTTTGAAAGAGCAGAAGTTCTTGCTTTTCCCCTCAACTACCTCCCCTACCTACCCCATACCCACCCACTCCACTGGCTGCAAAATGTCTACTCAGTGTGGATGAATGGATAAGATAATAAATGAGAATACTGATCTTACCTGACTCCAGAATCAAATGGCATAAAAGAGACTCATAGAAGAAAGGAAATGGATCTAGTAAAAATCCAACCTCGTAGCTTGCTACCACAACTATCATGCCCAATTGACTAAGAAAAGGACTTGACCCTTAATGAAGGGGTCTCAGATATATTGCCAAGACTTCAGTCCTATAAGGAGCTTCCTTTAGCTCACTGAAGATTACTTGCAGATGCTGTCAATAAGAAATATCTCCAATCACAACAAAGAGCTGTCTGGGAAATATCTTATCTGGTGACTAAACACTAAATTACTTATCTGAAGAAAGTACATTTTGAAGGTTCACAAAATCTTGAATATAGTACACACAGACCTTGATTCTACAATTGGCACTTTTGTGAAAGTTGTGTCTAAATCAGATCTTTGTCAAATTTATGATTTAAAGGAAACCTGGAGTGATTCATTTAGTTAGAAAAACCATAAGATGGTAGTTTTAGAGCTGGAAGAGCATTTAGCCTATCCCTCTCATTTTACCAAGAGGAAACAGAGACTCAGAGAGGTTAATTGACTTGTTATGGATCATGCAACTGATAAAGGTGTGAGGTAAGATTGAAACTCAGGTATTTTTGACTCCAAGTGTAGTGCCCTATCCATGAAATCATTGTTCTCCCACCTCTTCCTTAATTACTGATAATGAATCTCATAAAAGAGGATTTTATTTTGTGCTTTGAAATTCCCATTTAGGATATTTGGGATTTTGTTTTTTCTTTGAATTTAAACATTATTGATACCATTTGTGTTCTTTTTATATAATTTGTATTTTTCCAATATATCCCTACAACCTCCCACTCCCATAGAAACATCTCTTGTAACAAAGAATTAAGAAGTGAAAGAAAAAGACAATTTGAAAAAAAAAGTCAATCGATTACTTTGATATTATATGGACACATTATATAACATATTATATCCCACTTCTGCAAAGAAGTGAGATCTTGGATCTTTTCTTCAGGGCAAAACTTTGTCAGTAAAACAATCTTAGTGATTACAAATAAATCAGAAAAAATTCCAATATGAAACTTTGATTGGTCTTCTTATGAGAAACTTAGGTTTCCATTGTGTGTTGATAGCAATTAATATATTTTTGAACATTTGTTCTAGCTTAAAATTTAGCTTGGTGTTAACAAGATTTACAAAAAGTATAATACAGCTTACTGGCACAGCAGATAGAGTACTCGGCCAGGATTCAGGAAAACCTTAATTCAACTCCAGCCTCAGACATTTAATAGCTGTGTGACACTGGGCAAGCCACTTAACCTCTATGTGCCTCATTTTCCTCGTCTGTAAAATGGGGATAATAATATCACCTAACTCCCAAGGTTGTTGTAGAGATCAAAGGAGATAATAATTGTAAAAGTCTTTGCCAAACTTAAAGTGCAATAAAAATCATAGCTATTATTATATTGTCCTTGTCTATAAAAAAAGCTACAATTTAGTTAGGGCAATAAACATACATGCACAAAATTATTCACAAACAATATATATGGATACTTTTCAATTAGAAGTATTGGATACTGTTAATTAGTAATGTTCCAGATAGCAATACATATGGATCTAGCCAGCTTAAGTACCTCCTTACTGCTTCTGTAGAATAAAGGGGATTATCATTTTTTTTTTTGGTGAGGCAATCGGGGTTAAGTGACTTGCCCAGGGTCACATAGCTAGTAAGTATTAAGTGTCTGAGGCTGAATTTGAACTCAGGTCCTCCTGACTCCAAGGCCAGAGCTGTATTCACTGCGCCATCTAGCTGCCCTGACTATAAATTCATGAAGATATTACTAAAGTAGAAAATCTGTCAGGCCTAGCAAAAAGGAAAGGCTTTGTATGTAGACCCATCTTTCAAGTTCAGGGCTTCATGTCAAGAAATCTAGTTATTAAGTGATGATTTTTTTTTGGTGATTTAAGATCTTGAAGCTATTTTAAGACATGAAGAGGCTATTATCTTTTTTTCTTCAGTGAATATAGCCACTCTGATTAAATAACTTACTTTCTGAGATACTATGACAAAATTTAATCAGTCAATAAACAATTACTAAATGCCTACTATGTGTCAAACAACTGTGCTAAATGCTGAGGATACAAAGAAAAACCAAGGCAAGTATAATGTGGAAGAAAACACACAAAAATGGTTTGTACAACTATGTATAAATAAGCTATAAACAAGACAAATAGAAGATAATCAATAGAGAGAAGGCATTAAGATTAAGTGGGATCAGAAAAAGCTCCCCATAGGAAGTGAGATTTTAGCTGGGGCTTGAAGAAAACAAGAGAAACCAGGAGATGGAAATGAGGAGGTAAAACACTCCAAGCAAGGGTGACAGCCAGTAAACATACACAAAGACAGGAGATGGCATATCTTGTTTAAGAAGTAACAAGGAGATTAGCATCATTTGACTGCAAAGTACATTGTAAGAGTCTCAGTATAATGCGTAAAAAAATTAAAAAAACTACAAAGGTATGTACATGGAGGGGCAGGTCATGAAGGGCTTTGAATGTGAAATGGAGGCTTTTATTTTTGACCCTAGAAATGATAGGTAGTCACTGGAGTTTACTGAGTTGGATAAGAACATGATCACATCAACACTTTACAAAGACCATTTTGACAGCTATGTGGAAGATGGAATGGAGTAAGGAGAAACTGTGGCAGAACAGCAGGAAACCATTTCAATAATTCAGGAATGAATACTTATCAGGGAGGTGGCAATGTCAGAGGAGATAAGGGGAAGTATGTGAGAGATGTTATAAAGATAAAATCTACAGGATTTGAAACTAGATTGGATATAGGATGGTTAGAGGGAGAGAGGATCTGAGGATGACACCAAAATTATGGGCCTACATGACTAGGAGGATGTGGTCACTTTGACAGTAATAAGGAAGTTAGGAAGAGGGGTGATTTTTTTTGGGGGGGTGGAGTAATGAGTTCAGTTTTGGAAACATTGAATTTAAGATCTCTGTAGTTTGAGATGTCCACTAGGCAGTTGGAGAGGTGAAACTGGAGATCAATAGAGAGGTTAGAGATGGATAAGCAGGTTTGAGAACCATCAATGAAAACATGTTAATTAAATTCATGGGAGCTGATGATATTTCCAAATGAAGCAGTATAGAAGGAGAAGAGATCCCAGAACAAAGCCCTGTGTGACTCCCATAGTCAGAAGATGTGATTTGAATGAAGGTCCATCAAAGTACACTGAAGAGAAATCAGATAGGAGAGTAGAGAACTAATAGAAAGTAGTGTCGTAAAACCCCAGAGACAAGACAGTATCGAGAAGAAGGTAATCAACAAGGTCAAAAGTTTCAGAGAGGTCGAAACAGATGAGGATTGAGAAAAGATCATACTTTTAGAAAAGTAGGCTGGCATAGTGGATAGGAAAATCAGCCTATGAGTCAGAAAGACCCAGATTCATGTCCTGCTACTGACACATACCAGCTGTGTGGCCACAGGTGAGTTATTCAGTCTCACTGTACCACTAGGCAATTACCTAGGAATGTAAGTTACAGACAAGTGGCTGGTCTGTTTTGCTGGAGAATTTCCAAACTGAAAATCTCCCACACCAATGAAATCACATTGGAGGACATCATCCTAATGCTAAATAGTAGAACATAAATTATTAGACAAAGCAGGCAACACATAATGCGATGCAAATTGTATAGGAAAAACATAAATATCAAAGGAGTTAACTTGAGAAGAGAGAGTAATATGCTATGGGATCATCCAGAAAGCTCCCTGTGACTACAGAGAGGATTACCTCTCTAGGTCCTAGAGTCTAGGAGATTCAGATAAGACACCTCTCTGTGACAGAGTATTTTGGTTTTGTGGAGTTTGGTATCTAAACAATCTTTCTTATATGTGTTCATGATTATGTATATTTTGTGTTTCCCCTTTGTTGTGTACAAACTTGAGAAAGTTTTGTGTGTCAGATTGAACTGTAATTTACCTGATGTCTTACGCACTTGGATAACAAAAAAAATACGCTTATTAGATGGTGGAGTCACAGAAAATAGTTGTTCTAAAAATATATGGGAGTTTTATCAGATTTCAAGCTCAGTGTGAGTTAGTAATATGATGTGGCAGTCCTAAAAAGCTAATGTGATTGTAAGTTACCATGACGGTTATAGTTTACAGGAATGGGGAAGTGATAGTTATGCTGTATTCAATGCTCCTGATATGTCAATTGGACCATTGTGTTCAGTTTTGGGCCTCATATCTTTGAAGATATGCCTCTCATCTATCAGACTGGCTAGAGGACAAAAGAGGAAAATGATGAATTTTGGAGGGGCTGTGGGAAAATAGGCATACTAGTGCCCCTTGCTGGAGCTGTGCATTCATTTAGCCATTGTGAAAAAATAATTTGAAACTGCCTAAAAACCTGCCAAGCAGCATACATTAAGACTTAGCTATACTCTTGGTAGGCCTAAATACAAGAAAGAAAGGAGGAAAGAAAGAAAAAAAAGGAAAGGAGGAAGAAAAAAGAAGGGAAGATGGAATATAAAAAAGAAAGAGAGAGAAAGAAAAAAATAATGAAGGAAGAAACATTTATCAAGTGCCTACTATCTATATGACAGAAAAGAAGAAAGGAAAAGAAGAAAAGGAAAGAAGGAAAGGAATAGGAAAAGGACCTATATATACAAAAATCTTCACAGCAGTTCTTTTTGAGGAAGGCCAAAACCATAAACTAATGTCCTCCTCCCATTAAGGGGACTTAATAAGTTGCAGCATATGAATATAATGGAATATTATTATTCCATAAGAACTGGTTAAATGGAAAATTTCAAAGAAAACTGGGAA